CAAAAAATAAATGCAAAATCCAAAAATTCCCGAAAATCCAGAAACATCGTAAATAAGAGAAAAAATGTATTGAAAAATCGAAAAATGTAAAACACCAAAAACTGAAAAAGTTAGAAAGTGTTCTAGTTGCATCTATGAAAAATAAAATAGTACAAAACTTTTCACTACAGCCTCCGATGTTATACCATCATCATCTGTTTTTATCGACACCTTTATCAACCTGTTATCGATATTAATAACAATATTATTCTGCAAAATAAGTATCAGTTACCTTAATCATAATCGCAATCTCGATCTTAATCTTAATATTAATCCTAATCTTAATCTTAACCGTAGTCATAGTCTTAGTCTTAATATTGATATTAGTCTTAATCTTAACTTTAATCCTAATTATAATCCTAATCTTAATCTAAATCTTAATCTTATACTTAGTCTTCGTCTTAGTCTTAATCCTAATTTTAATATCAATCTTAGTCTTAGTCTGAATACCAACCTAACCTTCATCCTAGTCTTATTCTTAATCGTTCTAAAAAACGGCTGATTTCGAAAAACTGCCACTGACACTGCGTTATTGTTTTGGGCTAAGACTGTGTGCAAAGTTAAATTTACGAAAGAACAACCGAAATGAGGCGATTCTGTTAAGAAAAGGCTAGATGACGCTTAACACTCTGTCATTGTTAGAAATTAAGCAAGCGTTAGGCAGTTACTGTGGATACCAGGCTACAAGAGAATAAAAGAGCATAAATAGCGGATAGTCTAGCAAGATTGCCAACTTCAACTGTCCCCGATACTAACTGTGCCTTAGACGGTCCCAAGACCGATTTGAGAAAACAGGAGGGAAGTCAGGGGGCTTTGACATTGCCAGGGTACGGACTTCACAACCGCGGCTACCCCAGTCAAGGGCTACCAATTCTCAGTCGGTTGGAGCCTCAATTTGAAGAAGAGCTCCGGCTTTCGAAAGTCATACCAAAGACATTAAAAATGGGAGCACGGGGAGTAGGGGCCCCATAGTATCCTATATTTACCTGGTGGTGGTTGTGGTTTAATGCCAAATGCGGTAGAACTCAAAAGAGTTGCATTGCAACCGGGTGCGGGGATCCCAAAGAACGGCAGAGATTTTACGTAGTTTCGGCTTTACCAATGTGGTAAGTGTGTCCGTCCCACAATGCCTTTCGAATTGAAATGCATGCATTTCAGGGCAATGATTAAGGCATAAATTAATCCGTTGATCTTTAGGGGCTCCGTGGAGCTAAAACTGCTTAAATGCAGTAGGTTCCCACGTTAAACCTAAAGTGCATCTGTCCCCGATACTTTCCTCGCTGTATTTCTAACAAACTAGGGATGTTGCGAATGTGGAATTTTAGTCATCCGCGAATGCGGATGCGAATGCGGATTCCAAATAGTTTTAAGAAATAGTTTTGGTGAGTACATTAGGTGATTTAGGTAAATAAAAAATGGAAAAGTTAGTAATTTTTAATAATGTTTTTTTTTTATTTAGTACTTAAATTAAAAAATTGGAACATTGTATATAAGAAAGAGTCATTTTGCTGCCTTTTCGGGTTACAGCCTGAACTTGGCTGTCAACTTATTTACATACCATTTCATCTTAATTTCAATGCGTACTAATTTTGACAATTTACACAAAATTAAAATAAATTTTTTTTTGTTTGCCAGATATGCATTTTATCAGTGCACTTGCACAATATTCGCATTCGCAAAAGCTCCGCATTGATTATTGCGAATGCGAAAGCGAATGCGAATGTTAAAATTTATGCGGAAGTTCCGCGGTTGCGAATGCGAATGCGAATATTCGCAACAACCCTGATTCGGAGATATATTTCTTGAAGCCTCTACGCTTCGGTTAACAGAGAATTAGACTGCAAGAAGCTGTTTCCTCGGAGGCTATAGTTAAGCAAACAATAATGAGGCCTAGAACACGTTACCACTAAGAGCGGTTACCGATTTCTTTCTGGGATAGGTATGTATTGTGCGTTACGCTACGATTGTGTGCTTAACTGCGCGCTCTGCCCATGTACGCATTCGCATTCGCAAAATATTCATATCATTTAATGCGAATGCGAATGTGTAAAATGATGCGAATCATTCGCATAACGAATGCGAATGCAAATATTCGCAACATACCTGGTCGATAGTAATAGCACTTGTGTTTCAAGGCCGAAAACTTGCGTACATGAGTGGAGGCTTTGATTTGATTTTATTCATTCATTTTCCTTACATACAAAAGCAAAATGACTTAAATTAATAGCACTAATTTAAATGTAAGAAAAGGTAAAGCATTTTGTAAAATGTATTTATAATAGTGTCAAATGCCATCTTAAATTGAATTAAAGGATATGTACATTGGTGTGTGGGGTGGGGGTGACAATCAAACAATTCATTAATTACATAATAAAAACAATATGATCGAGGGCTTAAAGGAATGTTAAGTACTAGGGTCCAGCAAAACCTTGATTCCGTTGTGCGATTGCTCTAACAGAAAGGATTTAATCTTAGCTTAGAATACATGAAAATTTCTAATAACACGCAGCGAATAAAGAATATCTTTAAAGCCTTGTGTAGTACATATGTCTTACCGGCAGAATTCTGAGCTCTCTAAACAATTCCATGGAGTGGTGAAATCGATTAACATTACAAATTTTCCTGATAACAAATTTTTGAATAGTCAAAAGAGATCGAATTTTGTTGAAAGATGCTCCGCCCCAACAGCTTATACCATATTGAAGTTTAGAATGGACTAGAGCGTGTGAAATAGGATGTAAGGCTAAGTAATCCGCAAATTATGCGATAACTTAAAGTTTTATAAAATTTATTTTATTCCTGTGAACATTATTGACTACATTGTAGTACGTACCTCAAATATGTACTTTTTTCCAAAAAATATCATATCTCCGAAAAAAATAGCTACATACTAGGGATTCAGTTTGCTTGTAGTTTAAAGTGTATTTTTTCTTGTGAAAAAGGATGAAAAAATATAGTATCTATTTGCAAATTTTAATTTCGATAAAATTTTCATAAAAAATATATATGTAAATAAAAAATTTATAATTTTATCATCCTACCTTGAAATGGCAACAATTGATACAATTTTTGAAATCAATTAATTTTTAAGAAGGTTATGGGCACGTCAATAAAAATCCCCAGATATTAATTTTCATCTAAAAAAAAATAAATAGCTTATAAGGGGGCAAAAAATTTTTTTCGAACCCAAAAAATACGGGTCGCATTATTTGCACCAACAACCAACGTATTCCAGTTTCATCGAAATTAAAAAACTTGCCCGCTCCTAACCGGTTGTCTTGAAATTAAAAGCATCTTAGTTAAACTGAATTTTTATAGTTTAATTTTATTTAAAAATTCGACTGGCCGTGAGACTTGAAGTAACGACCACGCGGTTTGTCGGTTACACTTTTGATCACGTCAACTGCGCCGTTATGCTATAATTTATAATTTCAAGCTTGGTAACCTGAGAGGAAACTGACTTAGTCGTCGTCCTCACTAGCTACATTATATTTATGATCAACGCATGCCCGCATCCCATGACTCTATGAGTTTAAACATAGAGCTTAATGTGGACGCAATACTAAACGGCAGTTCCGATGGAGGATGGTGGTTCGGTACTTGGCGGGTAAGAGGGTTAGTGGGTTAAAGTCTCACACTGGCGACGGTTTATATTTAGGCCTTAGATGCTTCATCCTCGTAAAAACCTATTGCTTTTATGTTTGTAAATCCATACAAAAATAACTTCTCAATACATATCAATGGACACATACATACATTTCTAGACACAAGTGTGCAATTGTGTGCATTCACGATGGCACTAGCCGAGGTTAATAATCTCTGGGTCACATAAGAAATCAATAAATCGGTGCTCTATAGAAATGCATACCACATACTCCTACATGTAGGTATGCATGTACAGTGACGGTCAAAAATGGATGAATGATGATTCGTTTTTAATATTTACAATGTTTTTCAAGCAAAAATTGTTTTAATATTTTTTATAAAAATATGGTTCATGCTTTAATGCTGTCAACAAAAAAAAAATTATCAAAAATCAATGCCGCTCAAAACTTGCACTTATTTCACTCGAATTCTATAAGCTTGTTAAGCATACCCCGAAAATATCTAAAAATTCTCGTTCAAAAGCTCAAAATTTAGATAAAAATTTGTGGAATTTTTCTAAATTCTGCATAAAGTTTGAAAGAGTGAAAGTGTTAAAGCATGAACCATATTTTTATAAAAAAATATCAAAAAAATTCTAGCTTGAAAAACATTAAAAATATTAAAAACGAACACCATTCATCCATTTTTGACCGCCACTGTATGTATACTTATGGTCAGACATGCAATAAGTATTATAAAGGCAAAGCATTCAACGATAAGTACAAAATTATAAATAAAAGTACTCGCACATATAGTTACATACATACATACATACATGTATAGCACATGACATTGTACTGATACAAAATAGTCCTATCTAAAATCATCCTATTCATTGCATTAATAAGTAACTTTTTGTGTAGTCTTGTAATTGCACAGTTGTTCGTATTTTCTTATTTGCACACGTATTTAGTGCGTCGCACAGTGTAACGTACCCATATAGTGAGTGGCCAAAAGTAGAAGTGAGTGGCCAAAAGTAGAAGTGAGTGGCCAAAAGTAGGAGTTGTCGTAGATCAATGAAATTTTTCACAGAGATTTTGTAGGCATATATTAAGAAAAATTTTAAATTTGAGAAAAGTCGGATGTAGGACACGCCTACCTCCCATAGAACTGGAAACTAAAAACATTGGTTTCATATACCAAATTGAGTACGATTGCAGCAAAATTTAATATTTGTGCAAGATTTGATGATATCTTTAACATACAAGTAAATTTGTAAAATTGGTCCTTTGCATTTAACGCACCTATGTATATAAAATGCATGTTTATATAAAAAGGTTCTACCTACAGAATTTAAGAAATCTTGGTATACTCACGTGTATTGATAATATGACTCAAATCGTTTCACTGTCACACCCACCTGTAATAAAAAAATTTATATATTTTAAATGATTGTAAGTGTAAAATAATTAACAGAAGAAAACGATATCATTTGAAAACAACATATGTAGGTATAAAATGGCCTAGAAAATATTTTATTTTATAAACTCTAAACTTTTTGAAAATCGAAAAAATAGTATACACAAAAAATTTGGAAAAATATTTCGGTTGTGTTTATACTCGAGCAAAAAATTTATCAAAATTTGCCGACTTCATTTTTACAAAGTTTGGCCGCACTTGTTGCACTGTGCGTCGTAGCATCTACTCGAAT